CCCTGTCATAACGAGAGACGACACGCTTTTGCGCGTCGTCTATTTACGACGCGCATTTACGACACACATTTACGACGCTCATTTATGACACGCAATACGTATCAAGGTAGGCCTTGCCATAAAGGAAGACGACACGCATTTGTGTGTCGTAACCTTACGACGTGCATTTACAACTCGCATTGCGTATCATTAAATCCCCTGTCAAGAAATGCCATGTCATAACTGAAGATGACACACATTTTTGCGTATCGTAATTTTAAATGTTTAAAAAAAAATATTATTCATAGATTTACTAATTTTCAAATTAAATTTGCATTTAATGTTTCACAATAGAAAATAAAATATCATATACAAAAATACAATCCGTTGCATAAAATTTAATGTCATACAAATAATCGTTCCATAGAAACATAAAACAAATCAATAGAAGTTGTAATAGAAATTTACAAACTAATTAGATACAAGAAATATGAAAAACTTGAAATCCCTAAGATTAATAGTTCTAACAGAAGCTTCACATGAGAATAGGCAATTAGAGATGATGACACACCTTTTTGACCTGCACTGCACCTTCTCGCATTTCAAGCTCAGTATCACCAGCTTGCATAACAACCTGAACTTACAATCAACCATAAACATTAGGGTTGGGTTAAAATGTGAGATATAGCAACATACTTTCATTTAATTTTATGTTTAAAAAAGTTACCAATTTACCTCGTAACTATAAGACCTTGTAGCACCACATTCAACATCGTAATGGATACTAATGTAATCAATATCCTGCCCTCTGTATGTTTGCTGCCATAGTTCTCTTATAATTTTATTTATTTCTTCCATTTTCCTTAAAAGGGGCTGAACATGCAAATGAAAGAGATGAAGAAGAAGAGGGCAAAATGGTCAAGTTCAAATATTTAACATCTGTATTAACATTATGAGTACCAAACACATTGACACCATGAAATGAGTACCGTGTTTTCAAAAAGATTCTATTTTTAAGAATTTAGGGTTTAGATTTTTAATCCTTCAACATATATGAAAATAGTTTTTATAGAAGTGGCACCTCAAACTCCCCTAAACTTGACAAAGGAGACTCCAATTGCAAGTTTTCAGGCTCAATACACACTCCAATCTGTCTTGCCACCTGTCACATCACCAAAATTGAATCAAAATCATCAATCATATGTTTCTTTTTTACTTAAATCCTAACTTTTTATAAATTGTTACCTCAGATATGATTTCATTTTTGTCCACAAGTGAACGAAGTTCTGCATCTATCTTTATATATCTTCTTAGAACCTATAAGTGTATAAGTGTTGAACCTGATCCAAAAAATATAAACATGGAAGATGGAGAATTGAATTACAATTTACAAACCAATTTAGCAAACTTTCACTGTTTCAGCAATACGTGAATCACAATCCCAGACTCTTACTAATGGAGCCTCGGATGTTGGAGTAGAAGTTTTTACTTTCTCCCAACTGAAAGCATCCTGTATCTGCCTAAGAAGTAGAGTTAATGATAATGCTGATGACTATCCCAAAAAGAAATCCAATTGTCCCACTGCCAAACAAAATTTTGTAAACTGGTGACTCAAGCTACTCTCCCCCTAATCTGTCAAAAAATGCTTCATCTCAAAGAGAATGAAGGGATCTTTCAAGGTCTCATCTATAATTTCAACAAATTATGCACAAGATGTCTTCCAATCCAACCATGTTTGGTTTAAAATGGTTTCAAGAAGTGGGAGGGAGGCAGAAATTCTATCTTGGTTAAAAACAAGAGGAGGCTTACCCCATAAGATAGTTTCTGAGTCTAGAACTTTAGGCTTCTTTCGTCCTTTAGAAGAATACTCATAGTCATTTATAACCTTGACATCCCCACATGAGAAAGTCAAATGACGCTCACATATATTTTCGTTGTAAAGAGGATAAATGAATCAAGTATTGCTGATCAAAAAAATGTAATCTGCAAGCAAATTGGGCATCAAGTAGATATATCTGGTTATATCTACTTGATGTTTCTTTCCAAATTCTTCTGCATTTTACTTTGTCAATTTATCATTGAAAGTTTTTGGCTATTTAATTAAGATGTGCTTGTGAGTGGGCTGTGTAGTCTCTAAACGTGTAGTGTGAGACATGATCAGGAATGCAAGCCATTCCAAAAGCCAGTATAGCCACTAAAACAGAAATCCAATCATCTAAAACAGAAGGCCGTAATTTATTGTTTAACCCTGCATGATATGCTGAATAACAAAAAGAAAAAGGAAAAAAGAAATGTTTGTTAAGGAAGATTTTAAGATGAAAAGTCAAAGAATGATGAATCATTACATACCAGCACAAGAAATGCCATTTTTTTGATAAATAATAAGCCAAGTCATCACACATTGTACGTTCAAGGTAATACACAATCCCACAAACATCTCCACAGGATTTAATTAGATCAGTCAGACCATCATACGGGTCTTTTAGAAGGTCTTTAAATCGAACTGTAAAAATTAGAAATTTTAGTCAATGACATTGATGATTTAGAAGTAAAGACAAAAAAAAAAGGCAACTGATTTAACCTTCATAATATATGTTTGGTCGATTAAATGATGATTTGAGAACTAGAGGGTTTTCCATGTTCAAAGACTCTATCACATCCACCTAAATCCTACAAAAGAAAATAAATCAGGTAAGAGTTATAAACAATGACTAGAGGAAAATAGAATACTAGATCATTGATCCAAGTATAAAAGATATTGGGTGAGAGTTAAAAAGACTCACTTGGGAACAGCAGTAGCTGTCAATGCTAATAGTGGTACATCTGGCAGGCGTTTCCTCAAAAAAGCTAACTTTCTGTAGCTAGGCCTGATTATGAAAAGCCTATAATCAAGAACCACAAAAACTAGCACTAATGAACCATTGAGCTTATATGAAGAAACTATGTAGCAACTTGAGAAATTACCTAAAATCATGGCCCCATGTTGAACTGCAATGTGCCTGAAAAGTTAAGAAAAAATGGATAAATATTGATCAGAATTCATTTATGAATCGGTAAAATATATAAAGTGCAAACCTCATCTATAGCTATCAGATTCAATAACCCTCTAGAATGAAGTTTTGTTAGCTTCAACATAAATCCTATTGTGGCAATCAATTCTGGTGTCACATAGAGTAACATCATTGATGGATTTCTAGACTCAAGATCCCCATAAATCTAAATTTTTTTAAGAGTTCAAAATGCTGAATAAATCTCTGAAAATAAAATATAAAAAAATGTGTATTTAGTCATTCCATCATTAAAAATCCAATTAAAATTATTTAAAAAAATTGAGTTACCTCTTGTTCGCTATCGAATGGTCCACGACACTGAAAAACTCCATGTTCATTTCTCAAAGCAGAAATAATCTACAAAAAAACTAAAAAAATATGAATAATTTGCAAATAAATATGTATAAAACCAAGCAAAATGTTTTACCAATGTGAGCCCTTCGGCAAGATATATTTGGCACTGAAGCAACAAAACCGCAGGTGGAATTGCAGGTCCCCTTGCCACATCCTTCAGACTCCCTTTTTTTCTTTCCTTTTTGCTTAGCTGGCATATCAATTCTTAATAAGTTTCCAAAGTAAAAGCAAATGAAAATTTAAAAAGTACCCCAAAAAATGTTCTTTAACCAATATAATAATAGAAGAATATATATCTAAATAATACTCAACGGTTTCGCTATTTGTGATCATTCTGAGATGCATTTTTTCACCAAGTTTGATCAAGATAACATATATATACCAATAAACCATGCAGTATTCACTAGGGGCATAAAGCTCCAACTCAAATCCCAATATGAGGAAACGAAAAGCTACCCAATAGGTTTGTTCCTCAACCCAATTAAGGATGTTTTTGTAAATCTTCATGCATAAATTCTACAAAACACATACTATAAAAATTAGTTATAAAAATAAAGTGATTAAGTAAACACGTATAAACCATATGTTATCGCCAACTTTTTCAAGAAAAGCAATAATCATATGTTAGGATGATTAAGTAAACACGTATAAACCATGGAATAAATTTTCAATATTTTAATAATAAATAGTTTATTGATATGAAAATATTCATCTCACAAAGATGTACAAAAGACTCGTTTTTCTATATATCAAGGTTTTTTGCAAGTTTTGGTATTGCAGCAACTTTACAAATCATAGTGAAGATAGGATCACGCCCAATGAGTTTCCCATCTTGAACTAGTAGAAGCTCTTCATTAGTTTTAGAATGAGAATTAAAAAAGTAAAAAATAAAGATAACTGAGTATGTTATTCATAGCAGCCATTGCAACACCCTGTAAAACATGGCTCTTTCGATTAAGTCTCTGTTTCTCAGTTTCTGTTTAGTTCAATATGATGAAACCAGAATCAAAATCAGATACCAACCTCGCCAATTCCCATGAAGGCACACATGACAAGTAAGAAAGGAAGTCCGATTTTGGCAGCAATTGGAGTTAAAACCGTTGCAACCGACCACCAGACCAAATCATTGGACTTAATACCCGGTTTTGAAAATAAACTATTAAGAGCGCCACAAATTTCAAAGATAGATTAGGAATATTGTAATACCAATTGCGATTTACAAATGATTCAATTTCACGCCCAAGAAGGGTACAAATGACCTAATTTTTATAAGAACTCTAGAACTCATACGTACCTTTCTCTTTGATAATTTCTTTTAAGATGACTATTATTTAGGGCTATCAACAGCACCGTCGTCTCCGCTACCACAGTGTAATAAACAAAGCACCGTTGAAGGCCCTTCATCATCTTCCACTGCCCTTACTTCCTCCTGTGACAATTTCGAACTCGACGGGGAGAGGAAATGAGTCGCCAATAAGAAACCCCAAATCGCATATGTTTACAATTGTCTGCGGGTGATGGGCCTATGTATACGTGAAGACACAGGTGAGGGGTGGAAAAGGTGGCAGGTCGGAAATTAGGGCTTTTGGAGAGACGTTTTTAATCACATCCTAGGAGTCGTCTACAAAGTTGGAATTATGTTTCACCCCGTTGAGAAGAAAGTGCATATCTAAGGGCTGACCGCCCATCGCTACCATCTTCCTTACCCGAAGCCACCATCTTGGCATCTTCCTTCTTTGGAGCCACGGTCGCCGTCCTCTTCCTTCCTTGAAGCAACCATCTGGAACCTTTGAAATAGAGCAATGTAGAAATGGAGATAGATGTGTGAAAAAAAGCCCTAGTCTGATTTTGTGTTGAGGGGAAAAGAACACTCCTAGGGCAAATGAAGCGAAACAAAGAAGACAGGTTTTCTAATTTTTTTGGATTTCCTTTTCTCACTGCTACCTAGTTGCTAAAGAGGAGCCGCATGTTTGTAAAATTATAAAGCAACATTTTTAGATGACACAGGTTTAAAATAAGCGCCCTCCGTATTTTTTTTGTGAGACACTAAATTTAGGGCGCACAAAAATGCGTGTCCTAAATTCTTTAAATTTAGGGAGAGCTGACATTATTTTTAGGACACACGCTTTTGTGTATCGTAAATTTGTGCGTGTCATGGTTTGCGCGTCATTAAAGGGCTATTTTCTAGTAGTGAATGGTTCACACAACATCACCAACATTTGGAATAACCATGAGAAGAGATACATGGACTCTAGAAATCGGCTTGCCCTCTTGTGTATACACTAGTGCCCATTTCACCAACCAATGTGGTCATTATATAGTGTGGCTATTAGGGTTACACCATGTAACTCATGACTTTACCCATTCCTTATGCTCCATGGG